AGGGATTAGGTGGAAATAGAGGATAAAACTACTTTTCTGGTTCTAAAAATAATTCTTCTGGGTCATGTGGAAAATCATTGTGGAGGTTATTTGTGGGAGTTCAAATGTTCAGTTGTTCTACTTTCCTTTTTCTAGGAATTACTGCATGGCAGTGTGTCAGCCTCCAAAATTCTCAAAAAGCCCATGAAAAGAGCTGCTGTATTTCCTTTGGAAAAACAGGATGGCAGTGTAAGAAAAAAAAAATTAAAAGTGTTAGAATGTGTTACAGCTTTACTTTATTGGGGATTTGGAAATGTCAGAGAGTTTCGGATGTACTGATGGGTGTCACCATTCAAACTGGACACGGAATTCATTTGAGGATGGAGTTTGTTGTCCTCAATGCCTTGTGACCTGCTGTGAGGACAGGGGTGCTGCCCAGCAGTGGAAACGTGTCAGTGGAAAATCACGAGGTTTTCTTTGAGGAACAATGAAATTTTTCAAAGGTTAGCAGCGTGCAGTAAAGAAAGTCAATGAGATGACTGCTTGGACAATCCTCAAAGCCAAGGCAGAGCCACTGGTGTGCCTGGCCTGGGATGCACAGCTGTGAGCGAGGCTTTGTGACAGCAGTAACCTGTAAAGCTTGAGCAGAGGAGGTGGCTTTCCTGAAAGCTCCTGGCAGAGCCAGGCTGCTGAAACAGCAGGACTGCTGACCAGCAGTTCCTGCTCTCTTTACTGTTTGCCAAAACGTAATTTATTATTATTTTTTTTTACAGCCAGTGACTGAAAATAGGAAAAAATAGAAGACCACGATGCGGTGCTGGCACAGCGCATAGCAAGTCGTTTCCTGATATTAAAACAGTTGTCAAGCCACAGGTCGTAAGCACTGCCATTTGCAATTCTTTCTGTTGAATCAAAGGAAGTCAGATCTGATTATACAGCAGATAGGTTACTTCTAAGTAGAAGCAGACTTTTAAAGGCTACTTTGCTCTTTTTTGGCACTGGATGTTTAATTATAATTAAAAAAAAAATAAAAATCAAGAGAGGAGTTTCTGTCTCTTTGCCCTCTTTAATGTTTTCCAGCACAGAATGCCTCTTAATTAAATAGTTGCATCATTAACATTTCTCCTCCTCCTCTGCTGTGGCACCGGCTGAGAAGATGCTGAAGCACAGGTGCTTGTCACCTGCCTGAGGGCGGGCGCACAGCCAGGAACTGAAGCACAGCAATCTGAGCAGCTGTAAGCCGATCTCTTCAGCCTGAGTTCATTTACTTGGCTCCAATTTCTAGTCTGCCTTAATACACGTTTAGCAGTGAGACTGGCAAAACTGAAAACTGTTTGCGCTATAAAATACAACTTTCTAGCATGGTATCAAAAGCTGATGATAAATTTGACACGCTGGGAGGCAGAGGTTTGGGTCAGAAGAAAGATGACTTAGTTCTAAGTCAAACTAAATGCTGAAGGGAACTTGGCATAGTAAAACTGCCATAGGCAGGGGAAAATTATGACTTTACTGAAGAAGAGAAAAAAAGCTTTACTACTGGCTTCTGACCTTATTGGCTTCTCAAATGTATACAAGGGAATGGAGAATAATTACCAAACAATTTGTAGTGAGAATTGGCTGCTCCCTGTTGTGCTAGATGCACGTGCTGCCTTCGCTGCAGCATCCTCTGCCAGCGCTTCCCTCTCTGTGCGCTGCTGCTCGCAATGCAGAGCCCCAGCTGGCGGCTGCCAGCAGCTCTGGAAACGCAGGGCCTTGGGCTGAAGGCTGGAAATTCTCGTTTCCAGGAGCAGCTTAAGGCCTGTGGAAAACTCCCACTGACTTTTCTGGGATTATCCATCTGCGGAAAGTTATTTGGAGGGAAGTGCATTCCTTTGTAGAGCGGCTGGCAACAGGTCCGGGCAGCGCTTCGGTCTCAGTTCTGGTGTGTTGTTTTTGTTGGGCCGTGTTCATTCTGTGCCTTGCACAATGGGGCTGTGCTCCATCACTAGAGCTTGCACTTTCCATTTTAGTCTAATAAAAGTAGGATTAAAAAAAGAAAGCCCAGCTTGAATGCCCAGATGTTTTCAGATATCAGACCCCTAGGGCTCTGTCATGTTTGTGTCTTTGAGCACACCTGGAGAGCTGAGAGCACAGCTCTGCCTGAGGAGCATGGATGCACCGTGACCTATCTGTTGTCGGAGCATTTGGGGTCTCAGGTGAGGAAAATTGCATTGTAAATGGAAAATGAAATCAGGGACAATGCTCTTCCTTTGTTTTCTGAGCACTGCTGTTACACTCTTCTCATATTTTTACATTTCTCCTTATAGTTGTTTTGTGATCTCATTCCTCCACGTAATTTCAAAAGTACTCCAATGTTTAACTGGAAGGTTGAGGAGAGAAGTCCCCAAGCTAGCTTGTTTCAGGAGAATGTTATCTGCTGTCTGCTCTTTTCTGTGAAGCTCCAAGGCAAAGAATCCTATGCTGCATTTACACTTAAGAGTTTGCTAGTAAAAATACCCTTCTTCCTGAGGTTATTTAAAATGAGAGCCTACATTTCTCACATCCTACTGTTGTCTGAAATACAAAATCCCATCCTCTATTGCTATGCCAGAAAATGTTAGCGGATAAAGTGCCGAGCAGGTCACAGTATTTCTAATTCAGATTAATGACCCCATTCAGCTTGTCTCCTTAGCAGGAAATTAGAAAGTGCTGGGAAGGAGAAAATAGTGATTCATAATGCGTGACTCTTTGTATTGGCAGTTGCACTCATTAAACACTAAGATACTGTTTTGATATAAAATAATTGAGTCTGACTTATTTATGGGATATGTCTGTCTCAGCTTGTAGAGTTTCCCTGGAAAGACTGCTGGCTCTGTGCCCCAGTGGAGGAAAAAGAGGTGACTGGTGCCCATTGGCAACCCCTGGCCAGGTGAAGCACAAAAGAAATGCACACAAAATGACCACTGCTGCTCTTCTTAGAGAGCCTGAGGAGGGAAAACACCTTCTTCAGGAAGGTTTGGAGCAGTCAGGGACAAAGGGATGGTAAGCCACCTGGGAAAGCAGCTTACACTGACTGCATAATTTGATAAGTGCAGTTACAAGAGGATGACTCCTCACATCCGCATGGCTCCTGGCCTCTCTGGGCTAGATGTGGGTACAACGATGGTCAGTCGTGTGTTCTGGGTGCATCCTTCAGGCTGAGCCCAGGATACAGCTCTGCACCCCTCTCTGCTCCCCAGCCACAGCCTCTCCTCACCAGGGGGTGCCAGCCTTCCTCCGGCCTCACGCACGTGCGCCATCACTTGGTATGAAGACACCCCATCCCTGGAGGCATTTAAGGCCAGGCTGGATGTGGCTCTGGGCAGCCTGGTCTGCTGGTTGGCGACCTGCACATAGCAGGGAGTTGAAACTGGATGAGCATCGTGGTCCTTTTCAACCTGGGCCATTCTATGATTCTATGATTTTGGCTGGAGAAAGCTTCCTTGTTCCAGAGCAATTACCCTGAAGTTTGTGTAGAAATGTGGGAGAGTTCTCTCCTTTTCAGAGCTTGGTTCCCTGGGGAATGCTGCAGCTCGCTGTTTTTAGGGTTTTGCTCCTACATTTGAGTTCTTTTTTCCTACCTAGCAGTAGCTCCAGCTCCTTGCTATGAAAGATGGCAAGAAGGATAAATGCTGGTTGCAGAATCTCTGATGTGTTCCACAGATTTGTAATCAGCAGGCTGTCTGTACTTGGAGCTGTGGTAAAAAGGGTTGTCAGTACTATTGTTCTGTGAGGAGCTCAGGTTGGTTTGTGCCTGTTCATTTGGAAATAAATATGCAGTGGGCTGAGCTCAGATGGGCAGAAAAAGGACTGTGGGTCAAAGGGGACCAGAGGGTGTGAAATGTCAGCAAATAGGAGGCAAGGTGTGCCAAAGGCTACGGTGCAAATGACCTTGGATTTTCAGATTTGTATCAGTATTGTGCCAGACTTTCAGCATTTGTATGAGTCACATATGAAATCCCATAGTTGGTGTCTTTAAAAAATATTCATTTATTTACTCTGGGTTTGGCTCGTGATCTTTAAGAGCTGTAGCTACTGAATGCTAAGAGGTGGCCCTGTTCACAGCCTCATGCCTTGATTGAAACGCTGAGGTCAAAGGCCAGCAGGAGCCAAAGGTCTCTGCAAGCTAACCATATGCACAGGCTCGCCGAGCTCTTCTCCCTCTGTGTCATGAAGACAAATGGCATTTTTAAGAATTCTGCCAATGAACTGGCATTCATTTTCTGGTGTCTCTTCCTTCTTTATTGCTTCCTAATGAGCTTCATTCCCATCACCTCTAGCCTCCTGCTCTTGAGTCTGCATTTACACCGATGCATAGAACAGCAGCAAATTGAACAAATTAATTAATTAAGTTGGCCCGTCTAATGAAAGGAGCTCTGATGACTCTTGGGTTTTGCCCTCTTGCTTTTTAAAGAAATCTTCTCTATATCTTTAACGACCACAGTTGCTAGGCTTTTTCTGTCCATAGGCTCTGCAAGAACACCAGATTCTCTTTGCGTGGTGTTTTGGGCTTAACTGAGAACACTGAGAGCACTTCTTCTCTCTGTATATTTTTACACATGCACACACGTATATATGTGCACGCAGATATATTTTTATTCTTTACTTGTGTATTTCTGGCCGTTATTTTGCTTGCTTGTTTATTATTTTAGCAGTGGAATTTTCATGAAAGTGCTATTCAGGAGCTATTTGGAGTGACAGCTGTTCCTGAAGAGGGAATCCGTGCTGTTACAGAGCTTCCTCTCTGCCCGGTCTGGCTGGGGTCTATTTGTACTCCTGTTTGACCCATACTGCTTTGTTTGCAATCTGCACTCTCTGGGCCAGACCAGCTGATTCAAAACTAAGCCTTACCTACACGTCCTTCTCCTTTCCTACATGTATCCTTTTTAGCCCTCTGGGAAGTTTGAGAGTGAGCTGGCACCAACGGTGCCTCCTGACACGTTCGTAGTGAAAACTGCACCCAGGTATGCTCATGCTTACATTGCCTTTTTTCCTTTCCCCAGCAATATCACTACTCGGAGGAGAAGGCAGCTGTTTAAAAATGTAAAATTCCACTTATTTCAATGAAGTGTTGCTGAGCAGATCTGACCCCACGCGTTTATGCTCCTCATTACCATGGCCTTATGTTTTACATCAGGTGAGGATGTTGACTTTGGTGCTGCAAGTTGCCTGTGTATAAAATGCATACGGCACCTCCGTGTGTAAATTACTGTCTTTACATTGCTTTTAGAAACTCCCAAGGTGTGAAGGAGCATGATGAAAACAAGGAACTTGCAAGCGTTAAGCGTGGATCTAAGAAAGGGCTTTTCCAGTCCTGACCATTTCTTTATGTAAGCACTGTCTGTAAGCTTGCACTGCATGGCAGTGGAGCCCTGGTGAGTTGGAGCTGTTAACCATGTGTTACCATCAGGCCAACCAAGTTTACCCTTGGAAAAGAAAAATCATGACAGCTGTGCTTTTGTTTCTTATCACCAGTGCCCTTTGCTGCATATCTCTGCTTTCTTAGAAGGGTTTTCAGGCTGGTTACAGATGAATGGGATTAATGGCCTCCACCTGATTTTTACAAGATAGCTATTTAATCCAACATTTCTAAGTGCTGTTTCCTAACACGGTGCTACTGTTACCAGATGAAAGTGCTGTGGATTCTTTCCAAGGAATATGTGAATAATTTTAAATTGCTCTGCTGAAAGTGCTTTTGCTGAGCCTTTTCCCCTTCCTGTCTGCGCTGCGTTTTCACTTTGAAGTAATAAATACATATAGTCTTTTGGTGTCTAGCTACTTACCCTGCTCATTTTCTTCCTTTTTATTCCACAGCTCATCACTTCATTATACCTGAAAAACAGTGAAGCTTCTGTGAAGGCTATATGAAACACAAGGATGTAATTCCGTACCCATAAGAGGAACTATCTGAAATTCAGTAGTGGTTAACAGATCTGTGTGCAGAATTGCTAGTGGGAATCTGAACCTGATCCAGCTTTCAGTGTTGGTACTTGTTAACTTCATTAGAATTATTACGTGATCACAGAAGCACAGAACTGTAGGGGTTGGAAGGGACCTCCAGACATCATCGAATGAGAAATATCAATTTAGAACTTGTCCTTCTGCACCTCTTTTATTCACTGTACATAGCACTGCAAAAGGAACGTACAAAATTTTGTTTCTGCTTCTTTCATCATGCAGTTTATCCTGCTGTACTTTACCGTTCTGCTACTAGAAGGTCTGGATATGGAGGACAAACACACGGCTATGGAATCTTTATGCACTTGATACAGTCTGGATGATGGGTTTACTTTATTTATACTTCTACTTTATTCCCTGGGTGTGAATTTGTTAGCACAAACTCCAAAGAAGTGAAGGATATCCAGAATAAAGCAAAAGCCACAACTGGGAGAGAAAGTTTCACCAAAATTCTTTTAAAGACGTCCTCTTTTTATTCCTGTATTTTCTTATGTGCTCTTACTTCTTTTTGTGCTCCTTCTGCCTCACTGATAGAAAGGACATAAATGGTTCTCTGTGCGAGAATAAGAGTGCAAGAAAGTGCTGCTGAAGACATAGGCTGAATCTGTGCTCCTAACAATGTCAGCTGTGGAAATAAGACTTGCTGCTTGAAAAGCTGCCTATTGGCATTTTTGTTTTTCCTTTTAATTAGAGAGATCAGAATACATTACCTACGCTGAGAAGAGCAGCAAGGGTGATGTAACCTATGGGTGAAGTTTTGGACGTTTCATTTGTCCAGTTTCATTAGTCCTGCTGTGGCCAGATTCACTGGCTCCAGCTTTCATAGTTTCAGGACCTTTCTCCCTGCTGGAATTTCCTGTAGTTGAGGCAGAAAGAAATGAGCTTATTTTGGAGGGCCAAAGTTTTCTTGTGAACAGTGAGAACCTGCACACCTCATATTATTGTCTCTGCAGAGGTGGAGAGCTAAATTGGGCTGGTACAATTGTAGAGTTTAATCACACAACCACGCCATGAAATATATATTAAAATGGTCTTTTTTTTTTCTTTTTCCCCTTTCCTTTATTTCTTTCCTTCTACAATATCCCTGAACCATTTTCTGTGAGCTAGAGTTCTTGCAAACATTTCCCTGCTTTAAAATGATCCGGAAGCATCTTTAAGACTTTGACAGAGCTGTTGCTTCTTAAGCTTAATGGCTTGAAACTTTGTCAGAAGAAGGAAGAGCATAAGGGTGTCATACAAGCCTGCTTATGCTGCCTACCAGCAGACCTCACTCTGCAGTTTAGGCAATACTGCTGAGAATTCTACTGACAACTCTCACATAACTCAAAAAATGGCACTAGGATTTGTTATAGAAAGCTCCTGAGCATCTCCTGAGACCAAGGTTAGCTCCTGGAAGAAAATGGAGGTGCAATAACTTGTTGAAAGCTATGCAGCAGAAGCAATGGGCCTGGCTACAACCCTAAGCCAGCAGCATCTTCATTTCTGGCTCATTCAGCCTCTTGGTGATGTGATTTCTTCACAGCACCTTCAGGTCTAGAAACAAGGGTACATGACCACAGGGAGAGGTATAAATGCAACAAAACCTGCTAGATTTGGTTTCCACATAGCTGTCATGCTCCTTAGGAGATGCAGTTCCCTTGCTTGTGCCCTGGAATGTTTAGCAAAAGGGTTCTGTGAGTAACATTACAGCTTTATAGAGAGTAATCCAATTCTTTTTAGTCTGAATATCTCTTCATATGTTTAGGAAGAAGCCAAATAAGGGGGAGAACAAAGGAACATAAGATGTATATTTGCTCTGTCAGTTTTCTTCAAGAAAAGAAGCTGTGAGAACTATACTCCCTACATGTTTGAGATTAGTTCACTTCATGTGAGTTGGCACTGCAGAGAGTACGTATTTGTAGGGCTATATTCACACAAAATCTGCTTCACACAGACTACTGATTTAGACGTCTAATTTAGGAGCATAGGCTCTCTCTGTAGTCACTGGAGCCTAAATTAACATCTTGGAATTCCCTTGAAAGGACTCAGCTTTCTCTATTGAGTACAGAGCGACCTGAGGCTCCTAATTCAGGCACACAGGTTAGGGACAGCCCAGTGTGTGTTAGCCTTGTACAAACCGTACCCTGTTCAAACCCTGCACACTTCTCATTTGCTGGGCAGGGCAGAGACCTCGTAGCACAGACCTTGCTGTGAACCTGTATCACTGAGCAAGGAGCCAAAGATCTTTTCCAAATGTTGCCAGATCTCAGCTTTGTCAGAGCAGGAGATGGCTTTGGTCAGCCTAGAAGTCAAGAAACTTCTACGTCCTCCTCTGCCAAGGGCTCTTCCTGTTACCTTGCATGAGTTGCCGGTCTCCTGCTCAGCCTCCACCTCTTGCAAGGAGAACGACTTTATTTACAGGAGGTGATGTCACGACAGTGTTGTGAGGGGATGTGACTCAGTGTTTGTATAATGCTTTAAAGACGAAGAGTGCTAAGTATTGTTATTTGAGATGGCAACAAAATAAAACAAAATATGTTCAGTGCGGCTATTCAAGCCAAATCCATTTTCAGTTAATCTTCCAAGCAGGAATTCAAAATCAAAGTAAAAAGCCTTGCCAACTGGAACTTTGCAGCTTGATGGGAAAGTATGAAAGAGAATTAATTGGGTTTTAAGTAGTTGTAACTGTATTCTGATGCAGCACAATCTGGAGCACTCGGCTGCTGCTGGTTGCCAACTGGTTTGGAACTGGGATTGCTCAAGGGAATCTTTTTTGCAGAAAAGAAAAATAGTTGGGCCATCGTGCACAGTGTGCTCTATAGACTGACAGGAACTGCCTCTGTGCTCTCTATGAAAACATGCACTTTTTCCACTTTGTGCTGCTTTTTTTTTTTTTCTTTTTCAGCAATGCAAAAACAGTGGAAGACGTGGAAAGCAACAGAATTGCCCAACACCACCACAGAGCACCTCAAGGGGATTGTCTCCCCTCCCAGAAAGGAGGGAGGGCAAAGAATGATGGCAAAGCCTGTAACAAATACCTGTTCAAAGCAAGTTCTCCATCAAATAGGCACATCAGCACACTGGCTTCCTGGGAGCATTGCTAAATCCAGATCACTTGCAGATGACTTTCAAGCTCCATACTGAAATTAGCAAAGTTCCATGACTGTTAACTGCCAAAGACTTGCTTCTTATAAGGAAAAGTCTGTGTGCATTGGCTTCACATTTTTCACCTGATGTTCAAAGGGGCTTGAACACGGCTCTCAGCCTCTTGTGCTTGGTGGGGTTTGTCAATATGAAGTGCCCTTATAAGTGGGCTATTTAGTGCTTTCCCACTTTCAGTGAATGCAGTGTTTTGTAGCTAAGCCATGCTGTTTGGGTTTTCCTGTTCTGTCCTCAAATCCTTTTTTTTTTTTTCTTAATACTTTTGAAGTTACTTGGTCCTAAAATATGACTCTCAGTAAACATTTCAGCACTTTAATTTGGCTTAAGTTTTACACTTTAATATTCAAGTTCCAAAACAGTTTTATGAGCCAAGAAAAAAGATGATGGCTCTGGAAGCATCTCTTTTCAATATCTTTTACTTCTGCTAAGCTATATACACAAGAAGCTGCCTTACAAACAGCTTTATATTGCTCTCTATTGCCAATCATTGGAAAAACATGCCATAATGGGTTGCAAATGGCATAATGTTATGCAGCCAGAATGAACAATATGATTGGAAAGATATCATGTTGATAAAAACAGGCATGGAGAAAATAACTTCAAATCTAAAGTCTGTCTATCACAAGTAATAGAACAAAGGAAAAATTACAGATATTTTTTTCTACCCAGAAACAACCAGAGCCAACAGCACTTTGCTTACTGAAATGTTTTCTCTGTCATATTCCAAGCAAAATTTGTTTTTCCTTTACAGCCATGTTTGCTGTTGTTTCTTTGCAGAAATCATTTTTCTCACCTTTAGAAAGCAGATTCTCTCTGAGAATCCATTAATTAGCTGTCAGAGGAAAGCAAAGATCATACATTCACAAGCCCTGAGCGGACAGAGCGGTCCTGAAACACCCACAGCAAACATTCATTACTTCAGCTCTGGTTCTTCAACGTTAAAAATGCAGCACAGGACTGATAGATTTTTTTTTTCCCATTTTTTTTGGAGAAAAAAAAAACCAGCCACCTGTGTAATCAGTCTTTATGATTATGCTTTACTGCCTAGTGTAAAAATAACACAGCAATTTAAAACCATGTTATGGAAGCCCTCTGCCCAGCAAACACTGGACTAGCTTGTCAATTTGGGCTCCCTGGTGTGTCTGACACTGAGCACAGAGTGCTCATCCCAGAGGGCTGATCTTGCAGGCTGCTTGTGCTCTGAACTTCCTTGCTTCAGTGCAGAACCCATCGGAGTCCACTTAGCAGGAGAAAGCTTGCTCAGAGTGCTGTGAGGCCTTTAGAGAAGGGAGAAGCGAGATGAGAGGAGCAATGGCTGCAGTCTTGCTGGGGTGGATCTGCTGCATTCTGCCTTTGCTCTTCTGTCTCTGCTGTGTCGATAGATGTATGTGTATGCATATCCATCCTCTCTCAAACACATGCCAACACTGCCTTGGTTTAATGGCCACCATTGGAAACTGACCAGAGCCCCGTGTGGCGTCAGACAGGCTGGAGAATGGGGTATGGAGCTTGTTGGCAGTAGTAGCTACAGTCACTGGGCAGAGGGCAGGGCACTGTGGGGCTGAGGGTTACTTAGAAGATGCTCTCCTGTCTGTCCTGTGAGCGCACAGAGCACTCGAGGCAGCAGACTCCTTGACAGCACACTGAGGGTAGGTGGCAAAACTAAAAATCGCAGACTCATGAAAAGATGCACATCTTTTCCAATTACTATTTTGGCAATCTTGACTTTCCAAGTGCTTTCTGGAACACATCCATCCAGAAGGATGCCCTGAGGAGCCCTGGTTCCACGTGGGGCAGCTTCTGATATCCACCGAATGCAGACTCACCCCGTCAAACTCCACCTGGAAAGTTCTGCCAGAAAATAAAGCACCGTTAACTGGGGAACACATGTGGCTCCTTTGTGTTTGCATCGGAGGTGTCAGCTGTGTGACGGTCATACAGTTTAATTAAGGCAAGGCACACTGAAGTGTGCAGTTTTATTTCAGCTTGTTCTTTCTTGCAAACCTAATGGACTTTCTCAGCTCTACAAGCCTGAACAAGCCAGCAGTGTTTCTGCCAGTGGTCGTTGGCAGAGATCCCTGTGTGGATGCTGTGGGCTTACAGAACGAATTGTCTGATCCTACAGAAACCCAGCTTCTGTCCGCAGTGTTTTGGGGGGCGTTCTGTTATTACTGCCTTCCTTTAGAAAAAGAGATGACTGAGACAGAAGGATCTCATTTTAGTGCACGACGGAGAGGATACGATGGCTGTAAGGTACAATGCTGTCTTTTGTGGTGCTTATTTTACCAGCTTAGGAGCCGCCTGTCACCAGAGCCGCAGCCGGGCCCTGCGGGGCGCTGTACCAGGCGCTGCACCGAGCTCTGCTCCGGGCCCGTT